CTGGAGCGCACAGTGTTCTGGGCGACCAGAGTCCGCGAGTAATCCCGAGTCCCGCTGAGTGTCCAGAAGGGACTTTTGAAAGACCTGTGGCGCTCTGAGCAGCTGAACTCCCCTTTGGAGACCAGAGTGTCTGTAGCAACCAGGAAGGGTTCAGTTAACGGACCAGAGGAGCAGGGTGGCTAGGTGGAGCTGTTTACACAAGCAGAAATGAGGATAATACTGCCTGAAATTTATTTCCGCAAAACAATTCTTTTTCTAGCTGCTGTGATTCAGTATGACCATTTTCATGCGCGCTGCACGCGACAGAAAAGCCTCCCATATGGTTTGTGGGCTCCTGAAATCCTGCCATTTTGGATAGCTCCCGAACCCCCATATCTCATATTTGTGGGAGCCCGGAAAGTCTAGAGCACCGACCCTCACCGGCCCTCCAGCTATGCCCTCAGCTAAATCAATTTCACGATAACAAACTCTCGCGCCTGTTATCGCTGCTCTCGTCCCCCGACACATAACGCGCGCGCTTCTTCTTTTTAGGTCAAATGTGATAGATGGTCAATGATACACAGGATGTGTGACCTGACCTTCGATCGGTCCTATGCCAAGGTATTGAGCACAATTCAAACTACTATGTTTCAGTCCGTTCTTTGCAGCGAACTCTGCAACCGGTCGCCTTCTACGGGCTATAGAATTAAGTATGACGTCGGCCAACTTGTGTGACGTCACTTCACCCTGCGGACCAATGAGAATGTCCATCTGGACTTGACCGCCCGCTGTCCGTCTGCGTCAGATACCGCAGCTGCATGGGTGCAACCACCGTAGGAGCGGGGTGGGGGGAGGGGAGGGGGTGGGAACAGCCTCCCAAATGTCCCTCCATGCTACATCCCCCAATTTTTATAAAAATCGGATTTACTCCCTCTGCTTTTGCGCGTAGACTACAAACTTCTAACTGTTTTTTTCTGCATTTTAAGTGACTTTTTCAGGTCAGATTGTCCCATAGTTTCCAGTTTAACCCCTCCCATCCTTATTCGTCTTCCAAGCCCAGAAAAGTGTTCACATCCATGAGCTGCAAACTATTTGCAAGACGACTAGATTGCTATAGACGGTGGTAGGCGATAACTTGATAATGATCTGACGAGAAACACGTGGCTTAGCAATTCTAACATAGAAATAATAATAGCTGGAGGATTGTGTGATCATAAACATAAACAAAGCATCACTAACTGTTAACTGAATCATAGTTTATAGAAATAGAGGAACAACAGTCAGAGTTTACAGAGTTCAACAGAGTTTGAACAAATTGAAATTAAATATAAATAAACTAATTACGAAAACCAGGTTAAAGTAAAGGCCAAGAAGCTACTGTCGCATGAAAAGCGTATTGATGAAAGCCGGCCTGGTGCTATGCAGTCAGCTGCTGCAGGCAGCGCGTAACACCCTTTCGTAAGCGCGCACGACCCGCAACCAGTCTGTCCGAAACAACTGATGTCCACGGAATCTGCCGCGGCAAGGGGACTGAAACACAGCAGCGCGAGCATGGCTTTGGATTTAATCTGACTGAGGCAGCACTTTCGTGTCAATATAGGCTGATCCAAAGCCCAGCCGGCGCTTGCCCAAGCTCAGGTCACATCCACGAACTACGGTGTTTTTCATGCACGTTATCATGAATGACGTTGCCTGAAAAACCCTGACACTTTCACTTGTAGATAACTGGGACGGGTTTGGACGCACTGGACATGGATATCGTATTAGCTCCCAGCTGAGACTAAGTGTTCCATACGTCAGACAGCGCAGTCCATAGAGGCGCAGCTGCTGTCCGCAATCGCTGATGCCACATACAAGAGCAGCGGGTGTTCAGGCGCTCAAATCACAAATTTCAACAGCGAACGACTAATCGTTTGGAGTGGACGTGAAAAAGGAATTCCTCATCCTTTCACCACACTGGTGACGTGTATTGCATCTGTAGTTGTGTGGCCGCGGAGTTTTGCTGCTGATGACTTTCAGCGATTCGGTTGTCATTGGTGGTGCCACAGGCGTTGTTCTTTGCATATCGTCGAAAACGTTCGTGCATGCTGGGTTCATATTTACAGCCGCCAAGGGCACGTGACCGTGCGGCCGCCCTCGTGTATTCGCTCCTCGTGAACGCATCGCGATGAGCGAGAGTCAGCTCCCGAATTCAGCAGTCGCAGCGTAATGGGTGCTTGCGCTCATGCCGATTGTTTCGTGGCAGGCTAACTGGATATTGGGATTACACAATATCGAGGAGCCCAGCGCAACGCCACGGAGAAGCTAACTGTGACCAGTGGGATTGAACGTGACGCGGGGTGACACATCAGGCAAAGGTGGCTGATGGCTGTCCGACGCAGCAAGGCTGAATGACAAACGCGCGAGGGGCACATCTTCTCGGCTCGGGTTCTTGGTCGGGCTGTGACGGCAAGGGGATGGGTGCTATCTGCCCACATGGCTCCCACCAACAGCGCTTAGTGGCAGGGGTGTAGTCTCGCAAAATGAGTTGAGGCAGAGGGCTGGCCTGTGAAAAGCGACGGAAACTGCCCCAAAATGCACTAATAAACGGGCTTTTCCCCAGATTTAGCACACCTTCTTCTCAGAGTTGGAGAGGGTTGGAGCCAAAGTTGGGCGCCGCTGGAGCACCCTCCCCACCAAAAAATAAAATATGCCGTCTATGCAGTGGTGTGCGCTGTCCCAGCAAGGCACGAACTGTTTTGACCAGCATCGTAGCTTTTCGCCGTGCTTTGTCCGCAAGTTGCATAAACGTCGTATTGCGGTGTGTGGAATTTGAGCAGCTGTGCCAAGTTTCTGCTCTGTTCTTGGAAATTCTCTTCGCGCTGGATACCGTTGACTTGTCACAAGCAAGGCCCAACACAGTCATCAGCTGCAGGGCTCTGCAAGACAGATCCGAATCGACCGGACTCGAAAACAATGCTCCAAGCACATGACGACCGCGCCTATAAGAAAGAGTGGGGAGAGTTGTATCATTTTTTATACTAGGCTTGCTAATACCATAATTATCGTTGATAGGACTAAAATTGTTGTATGCTCAGGCAGCAACAGCCTTGGGCTGCATATATATTAGTAAGATTTTGGAGAGCACGTCTTCGTTGTGAGATAAATGACTTCAGGATGCACCGCTTTCAAATAATACAACCAGCTTTAACTTGGGTGAATGATATCGAGCGGTGAGGCAAAATGTATTGATGTGTTTTTGCCAGCGAGCAGGCAGCATCGTAAGCGAGCTGAACGCGTTACGATAAGTGAACAAATTACGCTCACATTTCCGATGTCATAATTCGTTGTGATTAAGACATTACAGATTCTTGCCTTCTTTAATCGGCCAGTGTTTGTTTTACAGCTACTACCACGTCGGCTTTAGTTGCGCAGGTAAGAAAGATGCACATTGGTACTGTAAATACCGTGTATAGAGGACAAAGGTCATGACAATCATGCCCGTCCATCATTTACAGCACATCAGCCAATGGCATCGCTGTCAGTAGATTGCATCACTGACACAACGTGCCCCACGTACAGCTGATACAACACGTACCGGCCGAAATCTTGCAAGAAAGCTCGCTACACTCCGAAATGCTTGGCTAGCAGATGCCAAACGTTCTGCAGCATGTGCGGCACATGCACGACCTCGCGATTTGGTGAGGCATTCAGACTAGCTTAGCTATGCCGTGAGACTTTAAATTCGCGTTTCCACCGATCGCTTGAGTTTCCAACAATATGGAAAAATCATTTATTGCGTTCACCCCAAGACGCGTGAACGAATGCTGCCGGAAGTACAGTGAGGGACGGAGGACGCTGTTGTGCGCCAGCTGAGTGACTCAAGACTGTCCGTGGTGGCGTAAATTTAGAGTAAGTTGCCCAGATGCTATTTTAACGTGGTACAATTCTCTCCATTGTACCCTGCTACGTATTTCCTTATCGACACATATTTCACTATATTTTTCGGCATCTGGCAGCACTTGAAACGCACCCTGACGCATAGCAAAGCAGTAGAACGCACAATAATGTCTATGTGCATTCTTGTTCGGAGGATATTTTCCTTTGTAAGCCGCCGTGACGACGCATTTGCTCATCGAACATCTTACAAGGATTATGCGAACGAGGAAAAAGGTATATAAAACAATAGAGATAGCCTTATTCCTCGGATAAAAATCAGGAGAATGGGGATATGGATGGCCTTTTCTCCGAGGAATAAGACTAGCACCACTGTCTTATCATGTGAATAATGTTCCGCCCGCAAATGCACTGAACAACTTACGAGGGAAAAGGCGTTACAACTTAACCACTTTGATTCTAGAGTACTTAAGTGTAATGCCGTATGATGACGTTTCTTTGGGACCACAGGATTGCGTCGTGATTCGAAACGGGATTTGCTTTGATAAATAAGCTGTACGAGCCTGAGCAGTTCTAGGTCGTGAAACTTTTTGCCGGAACGTGTCGGATAAACACTTGCAAGTTGCTACCCAAAGACATATTTGAACTGTGAACAGCTTTCAAAAGGTGGAACACGAACTCTTACACTGTTGTAAGAATAGAGCGGTTGCATTTGGGCTAAGAGCTTCAGGCATATTCGTACAGGAACATATGAGATATTGGACAGAATAACGGAAGGTAAGGACATCAGAATCTTAAGCACTGAACTATGTAGCGTGCATACTTTCAGCGACATAAGATATTGAGGCAATTGCCCTCGATTAGAAAGGTAATGAAGAGATTCCCCTTCCATTCATTTGCGTTACTCTCATCGTCTTGTATCCCTGATGAGCGCCCTATACCGTTGACGAAGATCTATAGCCTATGCCTATCATCACAACGTCGCGTTGCTCTTTACGACTTAGGATGTTAATTAAAGGCATTGCGTGTCCATAGGTCTGTTTTACGTCTATTTTCTTTATTCGTATCGTAAAGCCGTCAATTTGTCCCGTCGCAGCAGATACTTCCGCATCACCGTTTCGTCCCGAAGTCGCCGCAGTACTCACATGCGTGCAGGTCAATGTCGGCAGGCAGACCCCCGTCAGCGTGGGAGAGGTTCTGAGGCGGCATGGCGTCTGCTCCTGTTCCACTGCTCTTCCACCGTCTTCCACTGCACACTGAACGCCGACCGGCACTTTTATTCGGGTCGCCCGCCGTGCGTGACGTCAGAGATGTGACGTCACCACAGCGGCGCGTGCTGCCCATACCGGCCGGGGCATTGGGCCAGCGTTAGCTGTATCGGTAAGAGGGCGAGGCTTCCTCTGAAAACGCGGATGCTATTTGTCCGGCATACGCGGGGTTAGAAGCCGCCGGCCTGCGCAGCCTGGCTACCGAATGTTATTATTCTGGTATCTGGGTGCTTATGGTTCTTGCACCCTAATACATTTGTCTCTGAATGTCTAGAAACATTGAAATGTTAGCTTTGTCTCTTCTGCCAGCGCACTTATTCCCGCCAGACAGTTATTAAGGTGTCTTCCTCTTCGATTTTTTTGCGATGGCGTCGAGCACGCTGTGAACATGTTCGAAACCAATTGATCGCTTCGGCTGATCCAAACTGTAAAAGACACATAAATTGTGTAGCTCCAGTAAACTTGTTTGCTGCGCGGCAGGCCACTGATGACGACATACCTAAGCGGAAAATCTCCATTCTTAGGGCTACCCAATGAGACCGAAAAGACTGATCGAAATGCTGTCACGTGGCAGATGCATCGTTTATACTTGTATTAGCGCTAGCTGAACACTGCGTCAGGTTCAGCTAGACGGGAAAATGTGGACTGTGTTGCTCTGAGATACCCCTCAGTACATCTCATTGTGCTTGCCTTGGCGCGTGATGCAATCCTCGCGCATGCGTATTGTGCGTAACGAATGATGTTAGAACACCACGCCATTAGACATGTGCTATGGTGTGTCTGTGCGTGTGTGTGCGTTGTGGCTCTTAATTCGACCCGCGTGAAAAAGTCACTTAGGCTTTTCATCGTGAGTGTCAGCTCATTGCATGTTTTTCAGGTCTGTATTTCAAAGGGCAGTTCACAGAACGTCCGCGTCGTGGCATTTGCACAGTGGGCAGTAACTTAATTGCGTACCACGTGAGCGTGGCCCGAATATCACGTTAACTCTAGGATAAATATCCAATCATATAGTATGTATCCTGAATGATATGTATCACATATGATATGGCTCCTATAGGACGTATCACGATCATGCTGTCCCAGAAGATAAGCTTCATATTAAATAAACTTCCCGTACTTTTGTGATTCGCAACGCAGCTATCGTCAAGTTTGGTTCCAAATCATCACACGCGAACAAGAAGCAAGCTTCACACGCGCTCGGGTGGGGGTCAAATTGCCCCCCCCCCCGAAGGTTTTTCCAGAATGGTTTCCGAACAGCGGGTAGTAGTCACGCCCAATATTGCATAGCTGTAGACAATTAAATAGCGGATCGCTTAGAATAAAAAATTGTGATGTTCCTTGTAAGGTCGCTGACCTATGGCAGGTCAATGTCAGGCCTTGGTTTCAGCGATTGCAATATCCAGGGAATCCTTTAATCTGATCCAAGAACGGAGTGTTAGACAAAGCCATACATATCTGAAATGCTTTCCTAGGCAACACAACAGTTGAATGAGCAAATTAAGTTGACCTAGGGTTAGACATAAAGGTCACAATAAGGTTAAACCAGCCTCTTTCATTACTCTTGGGTTTGTTGTATGGTATAGTTTCTGGTGCTCATTTCGAGTTTATTGATAGCAGGAACCGCATTATACATCGTCCACCGACTTCTTAGAAGTCAGAATAGGTCATTAACTTAAAATGACCCGGGTCAAAATTTTGTTTTAGGAACATACTACCTATCGTAATCTTTGTCTCTTAGTCAAATGCAAAACTCACAGCAATCTTGCATGATTTTGGTCACCTTGGCCTTCAAAAGGTCAAGAAAGTCGCCGACCTTTAATGAGAATGTGACCTTTTGTTTAGAAACGGTTATTTATGTTCTGGGGCACTTTGGAGACTAGCCTGGAACTTGACCTTGTTTGACCTTTTTGACCCGAAGATAATAAACTACGAACCTGAAACTTTGACCTAAGTGAGTTCACGTACAGGTCAACACACTCTATACGTTTGGTGTCTCTAGCTTTCTTAGTTCCCGAGATCTCAGCCGGGTAAAATTGACCCCCACGCGAACAAAGGGTATCTAGCCGGCCACCCGGGCGCCTGTTAAAAAACAAAAATCGCCTTCAAAATTTAATTACGTGACGTCGCATGTGTTTAACTGTAAAACGTGGCAAGATTAGGGGTTTGGACCGACCGGTGGTGTGATGATGGCCGGGGTTATCGTTCAGTGGCAGGATGCAGGCGCAATTTATCACACGCATCCTGACTGACATGTTGACACATTGCACAAGTTCGGGAGACAAGTTGGTCGCGGAAGGGGACTTGTGACGCGATTATGAGGTTTTCTTGGATTACTCGACCATGTGGTGAGACCAAGGCTGCCTTCTGACGTATTGTTACACGTACAAACAAGCCATAGCAAATATGATATAGGCATATATACTTTATGAGTTAGGAAAGAAACAACTACATAGCCTGGAATATTTCATCACGCACTTTCATCTGACCTGTGATGATTCAAAACTTGAAGGCCTGGATGAAGACGATGTCTTCTGGGGATGAGCGCAGCCCGAAATCTTGAGCGTCACCAATGGAATCGTTGCTTACCCTGTAACGTCGCTTTAACCAGTACCTCCTGGCACATTGAGCTCGGTGTCTCAGCGTACGATCTTTGAACTCATGATGATCCAAACGCTCAGCATTTTCAACGTCACACGACCTATGATGGCTAACGCGGAGTTTTGGTCACAACGTCCTTGAAATTTATTGAGACGTATTAAGTTGGCAGGTTGCTGGTGCCAGTCACCTCCGAATACCAGCGGCGAGAACACGAGCCCTAGGTATTGAACGCCCTCCCCCCCCCCCTTCTCCGGCATGTGGTGGATTAATATTGGATGGAATCAACTTTTACTATCCGTTTCAGGGATGCGCAAGGAACTGTGTTCACCGGAAGATCTCTTGTTTGTTTTCGGATGTGAAAATTTGCGGTATCTTCTCGTGATTAAATGAAATGCTCACTACTTGAAGTAAATGAAGCAAGCATCAGATATGGTGAAATGATCTCACAACTATCGATATGCTTTTGAGCGAAAAAACTTCTCTAAACAACACAATTTCTCTATCTAGTAAATACGCTATTCGCAACGTCCTTGTTTGATTGCGTCGTGGACCGTTCGTATGAGAGCACTCGCTTGCACTTCTCCCCATGGTATGACAGATTCATGTACATACGCACTTTGTATCAGAGCACCGACATGCACTCGTATTTGCACTTGTAGTTCATCAGTTTCCCGAGAAGTAGCCGTGGCGATGCTGGATGTGTGCTGAGCCAAATATCGTAAGATGCTCGTGTTTTGGCCCTTTCTCGTGGTGTTCTTGCATATTTACTCGTGACTTTAGGTGTTTACTTGTTTTCGCATACTCGGCTAAAGTTCTACCATTAAGCTGCCTCGCCGTTATTTATTTTTCTCCATTCCATATCCCTGAAGTGATTATTTTCAGCCGAAAGGGCTCTTATCCCAATAACCAAATAACCCAACGTCTTAGAACCTTGCACGGCTTGCACAACATTGGTTGAGAGCCAGTTGGCGGTCATTGTATTTTGAAATCGTGCCCGCGAACGTCAGATATAAACAACCCGACAATCATGTCTTTCTTGACATTCAACGCTGCATGGCCAGTGGAAAAACAGGGACGTTATTATGACGTCATGAATGCCTGGGTAACCGTGAAACAGTCTGCACAAAGTAATCTGCACATTTTTGCAGGCGTATAGCTTACAAACTAGAAGGGTTAAGGTCTTAAGAAGGGCAGCGCTGTTACCTGCACAGAACGATCTTCACGATGGCTATTTGAGTTCAGAACCCCATGTCAATGTGGAGCAATCCATTTAATGACGCTGGTCCCGTCGACAGGCGTAGGCTCTTTGCCGTCCATTCATTCGGCAGAGTTTTAGCTGTAATGAGATTGGCCTGGAGGCTATTATGGCCGTGCTTTGAGGTATAGCTTTGCGACCTCGCACTCCCAAGAAAAAAATCACACGGCTGTTAATACCTGTGCTGTTTGGCACCTGTTCGGATGCAGACATGCTTTTTATGACCACAGTTCTTTTGTCTTCAAAAGGTCCGACCACTCTACTCTTCATTTTCTAAAACAGCCATAGCCCATGTTGTCAAAAATCCGAACATCCAATGAGCTTTCTATCTATCGACAGAGATCCTCTCTGGCAACCTTTGCATGGTTTTTGGCTGGTAAATGCGTTCAGAAAAAATGCATGGAAGCGATGGCGCTGGACATCTTAATCCAGACTCAAGTTTGCAGGACCTCAGGAAAATGAAAGACTGATACAGAAAAATCCACCAGTCTTGATGAGTTCACCATCACACCCAGGAATTCACAATCCTGTCGGAAACACGCACACACACACACGCACACACACACACACACACACACACACACACACACACACACACACACACACACACACACACATACGCTTGCCCCCACAAATACTGTTCAGCGTGGCAGCGATCTGCCTGCTGATAAACTGTGGCGGTCAACGGACTCCGCAGCTGCAGCGACCGTAAGGAGCAGCTTCCCGCCCGATCCTTCAATGAGGACACACCCAGGTCAGCTGGTCTTTCCTCACCCCGCCTGACACGTGCTGCACTTTCGTGCGCGCCCGGGAGGAGCGCCGGAGCGCCGCCCCCTGCCGGCTGTGGAGAGTGGTTCAGCCAGGCGAGAGCACGCGCTAATGATCACCTGTCTTCGGCGGCGCTAATGTGAAGGGGCAGTTACCGGCCACTCCTTGGTGCCGGTTGTGCCAGTTGCTCTCACGCGCTGGTTTTTGCACTTCGCAGGACAATGGGGTGCTGGAATTCGCTGAAAGCTTTGTGCAAAATGCCAACAGCAAAAATGTGGTATGGGCTCAATTGCGTATCGGAGAGAGGTTTCGCAAACATGCGGTATTAGCAGTGTTACAGGTCTTGG